TGTAAACAAAGACAGTTCTATTTTCAAATTTAGAGTGAATCAATATCACTTCTTGCTAAACTTTGCACTAAGTATCTACTTCATTTACAACCATTATACATGGTGTTTGTAAATAAGTGCGAAATATTTTAGGGGGTGGTTGCCGAAGTTATTTTATGAAAAAAAGTTTATATAGGTTTATATAGGTCAAAATATGCTTCGTTTCCGAGATACAGAGTGTTTAAATTTATTTTTATGAATTATTTCAGAGTTTTAAAGATATTGACTCGAAATTTAATGGTTGTATTTTATTTAGAAATATTGACATCAACCTATTAGATAATGTAGATCTATAGAAATTAAAAATACACAACTTGCAATAAAATATGTTTTATTTTTTTCCTCAAAAATGGTGCATCCTATCAAAAAAATTGGAGAGATCAATTTCATTCAGAATTGATGGTGGATTTCTAAAAAAATATCAAAACTGGAGAAAGTCAGTGGCGTACTATTTTTTATTAAAAAAGGTTGTGGCATTCTCGTGCGTACGAACGCCACTGGTGCGAGAAATATTCGGATCACCCCAAAAAATGCCCTCCAAAGCGTTTTCAAATTTCGAGTCAATATCTTTAAAACTCTGAAATAATTAATAAAATATTTAAATTTAAACACTCTGTATCTCGAAAACGAAGCATATTTCGACGTTTAAATAAACTTTTTTTTCACAAAATAACTTCGGCAACCACCCGCTAAAATATTTCGCACATATTTACAAACACCCTGATATATAAATAAATATAATAGGGTAGTTTAATTTTAAGTACTATTAAAAGAATGTGCTAAACATTATTTTTTATAGTAATTTTTCAATTATTTTTTCATTAAAATTTCGAATTTCCCGCGCCACTGATTTTTCAATAGTTAGCATTGCAAGTGCTGTTAATGCGTCGTTGCAGTCAAATTTAAACTTAAAAGAAACACACACGAAACAATACATAGATATCAAATTACGTTTAATTAGAAAAGAAAGAGGTGAACAGCTATTATTCCCCAACATGTAAATATGCGCTACTCCCACTCCTTCTTTTACTGCTGCGCGACAGTAACCGTGACCACCATTGTAAACACTATACAGATTTGGGGGCGAACTACGAGGAGTCCACGTATTCAACGTTTTGTTAGGTTATGTTGTGAGCGAATTGTTTGTTTTACCGAATTTATAGAAAGATTAAAAAGAAACATAAATAAATTTAGCCAGCCCAAATAATCAAGTAATTAATTAAAATAAGATGATCTCTGATTTATTAAAATCAAAACTAAATTAAAAACATTTATTGTAATAAACTTACATTACCTATATAACGAAAATGTAATAGGTTAAGCAATTGACAGGTGGTCGTTCAAGGCATACACATCTGAAATGAATAGAGAAAAATATCTGAGTAACCAATTCACCAAAACGTCAGTAGAAATTACTATAATCATTTATGTGATCAAAAGAAACTGATTCTGGAGACAATGAAACTCTTCTGGGTCATTGGTATTAGGGGTCAACTCGCGAAATACCTCTCCGGAAGGACAGTAAGCTAGATCAGAGTATCTACCATGGTAAACAGTGTAACAGCATGCATTCACTAAAGTACTAAGGGTCAACGCGCATAGTACCCACCCTGTATAACTAGCAAGAGTACGAAGGGTCAACTCGCGACGTACTCGGATAACATTATCTCACATTCATAGTAAGAATAAATAAATTAATAGATCTTAGGTATAATTCTGATACAGAAATAGAAACAATAAAACAGGTAAAATTGGTCACCCCGTGAGATAAACTCACCTGACAATTACTGCAAAGTACAACCACAACACAGCACAGCTAATGTCTACACCAAAACAGACCACTAATGAATAAAGAAAAGGAAACGCAACTTTCATAAGGNGGGGCCCAGCCAGGACAAAAGGAGGTCCCACAAAGCGCCTACACCGGCCGCATTTGCGGTCGGGGTAGACGACGGATGGGGCCCACCTACGAAGGCTGTCCAGGCCTACACGAGATGAGGCAGGATAAAGAGGGATAATCCCCCTCGATCCCAAATCATTGAGGCCAATTTCTAGCCATGAAATAATGGCAGCGAACTCGCGACGTACTCGGATAACATTATCTCACATTCATAGTAAGAAATTTATAGATTAATAGATCTTAGGTATAATTCTGATACAGAAATAGAAACAATAAAACAAGTAAAATTGGTCACCCCGTGAGGTAAACTCACCTGACAATTACTGCAAACACAACACAACACAGCTAATGTCTACACTAAAACAGACCACCAATGAATAAAGAAAAGGAAACGCAACTTTCATAAGGCATGAAAGAATATATTGTAAGCAGTTCTGATAAGTCATCAATAGCCAAAATAAAATAGCTCAACTCTATCGTTAGAAAAATAAACGTTTGCGTTTCAGTTATTCAGCTGTACATGTTTTGGTTCGCATTTCTTAGAAATGTTTTCTCATAAATAAAATAATTAATGGTCAATAATAATTATGTCTTACAGTTTTTCAAATGAATTTTGCGAGTTAAATTGACTGCACATTATAAATTTAATAGTTCCTTTTTTATGTGTTTTATAAGGTTGATATATTTAATTACATAGATGACACATTAAACTAAATTTTAAATTAAATTTGTTTACTATGGAAATTTCTACGGGGGACAGCGCCCTAGTGTTCGCCCCCACACCAGCCGCCACTGAACAAATCTCAGAAATATACGTATAAACTAAACTTTAAATACTTAACATAAGCCGAGGTGTAAGGTCTGCTGATTCTGCTTTTTGTTATATAAAAATTACGTTTTAACTGCCATTAGTAATTTGATATTTGTTTTATTATTTCTAGCACGTATATAATTTGAGATGTTTACCAAAACTTCCCACACGTATATTCACGTGTAGGAATATATGCAAAAACGTCCCCGTTTTTTCTGATATTTAAAGAAACTACTAAATATTAATTAAGTTAATTAGTATTTAATCTCATTTTATATTCATATAATTGAATAGAAATTATACTTATAAGAAGCAAATATATTTGCGGTACCTAAATATTTACTATAAAACGATTAGAAGGATAAAAGGTCCATGAGTATTATACGTATTCATTCAATACCTACAAATAACTAAACAATTTAATCTCACCGTTGTTTGTTTATCATTATTAGTTTTAATTAAACTTACCCAAGAGATTAAACCGTGAAACTTATACGCGGTTAAGAAACAATTTAGCTGAAACTAATGGTAAATGGTAAGTACTGGATCTATGGAATAACAAAACTATGAGTTTTGGATATAGCTACCTACATTGCAGTCCGCAATGAATTCAATTGGTTATTTTTTTTTACTTGACACTCGGTAAATACACTAATGTCATAAGTTCATATTTATAATATGTGGTGAACATGTATTTTTTTTATCTAAAATGTTGTTGCAGAGTTCATTCATACTAAGAAAATATTACACTTATTAATAATTACTTTATCAACGAGTATATTACACTATACCGAACGTTTCTAGTTTATTGTCTACATTATCAGTATAATATCTTGCGATATTTTTATTTTGGATATTATTTTCTATTACCTCATTTACCTTAATAATAATTATAGGTAGGGTAAATCATTTATGGTTGTTATTATTGTTTTCATTATATATTTTTTTAAATATATGTTTTATATTAATGACTGACCTTTAATCCTAATATTGGTAGTAAGTACTTACAAAAATAATTATTTATTAATAAGGTTATAAAGTTTGAACAAACTTTTAAGCATTAATTAATTAATGTGTTTATTTAAATGTATCCCTAGAATTACTCAATAAATTTCATTTGATTTTACTACATTGTTAATAAATGGCAAAACCCATACAAGGCTCTTCAGAATAACGTACCACAAAATCTGGAAGCATTGTAATAATAATACATATTAAATAAAATCTTTTTCCTACGGGCTATAAGGTCTTTTGTCTTCAGGATTAAGGGTGTTTATTGAAATTTAGCAAGGCCAAAATAGTTTTGAAACAAATTTGAGATCCTTGATAAAACTTTCTCATATAATTTTTAGTTCTATAGAAATAATGTATTCTTGTCAAAATTTGTTAAACAGTTTAATTTTCGAAAAAGAGCGCAAAAATTGTAGATGGATCCGTTACGTTTTTTCTTCAAAACGTGTCATTTTAGACTAGGGACGCTAGATCTATTTAAATGAAGCGCTATAAAGATGTTTTATAGATGTTAACTCGTTTTTCAATCCCGCTTGGATTCTTAAACGAGTTAATATGTATAAAATATTATTAGGCATCATTTAAATAAAGTGAGAACTAGCATTCCACAGGCCGGTCTTTATTTAAAAATCGGATATCGCCTCTAATTATTTCTCTCTTGACACTTCTACAATTACTTTGTTATTTTACTATTTTTTGTTTTATGAAAATGATTTAGTTTGCGTAATTGTATAATAGGTATTATTTTATTTTCTATTTAGCGAATTTTGATAAGGGTACGTCTCTCGGAATAAAAAAAATGCGAATAAAAAATAAGAACCCCAAAATTTTAACTTAAAAAATTGTAACCTAATGTACTGTATACTTATTTAAAAACTATTCGAGCCAGGCTATTTAGTGCCTCTCGAATCATGTATCTACTAAATTTAGTATGTCAATTAGGTACCTAGACCTACTTCTTGTTTTAAATTTGGTATAATGATTTCATTTTTGCATAACTAGACTTTGGTTTTTACACGAGTTGCCAGCTTTTGAGTATTTATTCCTATAAGAAGTAGTATTTTATTCAAAAAATGTTTTATTTTTATATACTCTTACAATATCTTGCAAAAAAAATATTTCCATAAAAAATTTTGACGTGCCATTAAGCTCTTAAGAGAATAACGAGAAAAATAGAGCGAATTTTCAAATTTGTGTGGTTTCAAAAATAATGACTAATTGAACAAATTGATCACTTACCCACAACATTTTGCCTTCGTTTTAGCCTCATACATTTTAATTAAAATAGCACGTCTACAACGTTTTTAATATGCGATCAGTACAAAAAAAAAACGATGTTCCCGCTAAGAAAACGTAACTAACAGTGATTGGCTATTGGCTTTATGGCTTTGCATGTTACACAAACTAGGATGGGCAGGGGAACTCCGAGGCGGACGTTTCTTGTTGTATAGGGTGGGGGAAAGCATCGCGCGACTGAAGAGGCACAATTTTTTTTCGGGGACAAATTCAATGATGAATTGTGCTAATAAAGTTTGAATGCAACTACCTCCAAAACCGTGAAAAACAGACCAATAATCTTCAGTTATATTTTTGAGGTAAGTTGATTTTACTGGATGAGGAATATCTTTGGAATATTAAACTATATCAAATAAATTCAAAAAATTTTTCAAAACATCCCATCAAGTGGAGTTAAACCTTCGGTACCAAAAATTTAGGTATTGGGAGAAACAATTCCTCTATGCGCCCCAACACCAACAGTATCTAGTAAACAGGTAGTCATTAATAATTGTCTAAAATAAAAATTAAAAATGTCTCAATAGTATTAATACAAAAACACATACCTGACGTACAGAAATTATTCAACAATTTAATGTTTTAACGCAATATCTTGTATTCTGGTTGTTCTAAGATCACCTTCGATAAAGACCAACATGTAAAAATAGTCACAATAGATAATGATAATATAATTATAACGAGCGTTCAAATAAAAACGTGGTCGAAGTTGGCTCTGACACATTGGATGTAGGGAGTAGCCTATAGCGACCAACTTAACCTCATTTCTCAACGAGCTGTATAGCAGCTGTCAGTTTCAATAACGTTAATGACTATATAACTTTATTTTAAAGAATAATCGTGATAACAATAACAAACAATTAAAGGAGCTGCGGAAAGTGTCCCCCTCCTTGTTATAACAATAAATTAAAGCAGCTGCTGAAAGTGTCCCCCTCCTTGTTCCAAGCACTTTTCACACCTGTTCCTCAAAGAATTAAAGACATTTTCTAAGA